TTGAGTGGTATTTCATATATAAAGGATTTGTTGTGGTCTGTGCGTTCACAGCATTATAAATATTCAATGGCACCCATCGTAAATGCGCCGTTGAAGTGACCTTTAAAGAAAGATGATTTGAATAGAGATGTCTGTTTATCTGTTCAGGCGCTGTGGTCTGAGCTTTGGTCTGTTTTAGCTCCAGACCTCATGTAGGATAGCAGCATACAAATATTCTTGTTTTTAAAGATGAATGGGAAATCCGCTGGCTGCATACTAAATCACATCTTGAATGAGCCATATTCAGAGTTTATGATGAGCAAAGAGGGGGTCGAACCTTCATTCCTACTAATATCTTTTGCATACATGTAGATCTTTCTTTTATTCTCAAGATGGTTTCATTCAGGCCACTTGCTGCTAAGAAAGATCACTGACTTCGTCTTTACTTCAGATTCCTTATTGCATCCCAGTGCCTCTTCGGCAGTCACATCACATTCAGTCCTGAGGGGGTTTCAGCGCCACGCCTGAACCTCTGAGAGCCGAGCTCAGCTTTCCATTACACAATATCTCATGTTGCTGTCGCACATCAAACGGCAGTTCAATAATCTGATATTTTATTGATCCCCCTAGGGATTTTCTTTTCCCTCTCACGTCAGTTCACAGAGAGGTTGAAGTTCAGGTTTAACCAGCTAAAGCTCTGGGCTTGTTAATAAATCAACAATTTGCTCAAAGGCACTACTGCAGCTAGCAAGAGTCTCAAAACAAAGATTTAAACATGAGATCTATAAGTTCAAATGGTGACGCAGAACTCTCCTCCCAAGGATTTCAACACAGGCTTACTGTTGCAGAGACAGTTTGCCTCAAAGCCAAGCAACTCAAAAAGTAACCCACAACAATTTAGAAATAAAAAAAAAATAAAAAAATAAAGCTAGTTTGTTTTTACAAACATTAAACAAGTGGTACGCCGATGTCCCCCCCATCGCTGAGATATTTGTATACTGAATGTTTGTAGTTTCAAGGGGAGTGTTTTTCAGGACTGGAACAGGGAATGCAATTAAACTTTAATTTCTTTTGTGCAATATATTCAAGTGGGTAGGCGTTACAGGTAGCTTAGTTTCTATGTATGTTTTTGCTTCTGGTGGTGATGCAGAGTGAAGGGTCCTGGCGAGTGAAGGTATTCAATTTACCTACAACCAGGAACAATGGCAATCAGTCACCCCATGGGCCATATATATATATATATATATATATACATACACACCCAAGTCAACTGTGTCTGTCTGTTAGCAAAATTTCTCATGACCCAGTAGTCAAATCTAAATCAAGTTCAAGTTCAAGTATTGTCATTTCAACACTTGTGGTACATGAGGTGGAACAAAATGATGTACACAGGGTCCCAGTTGCACCCAACAATAGCAAAAATATAGAGTGTAAAAAGAAACACTATATAAGGACTTAAGATATACACTAAACAAACGCCAAACGGTACACTAAAAGATCAAAGGCATACACTAAACACTAATAATGTAAAACAATACAGTGTTAACAACAGCAGTCCGAACATGAGTCTGTGTGAGCAGATGGATATGAATGAATACAGCAGTATGAAATAATCAGCAGCATGAGATTAGCAGCATGGATAATCAGCAGCACATATCACCAAAGTGGCATTACAGTGATTTTTTCCCTTCTTTTTTCCCCCACCGTGATAATCCTGATTATGTGTTTATGAGTATAACAGCTTCAGGGTAGAAGCTGTTCCTTAGTCTAGTGGTTCTGCACTTAATGCTCCTCAACCTCCTTCCTGAGGGGAGCGGAGCAAAATGTGTGTGTGCTGGGTGAGTGGGGTCCTTCATGATTCAGGTGGCCCTCTTCCTGCATCTGGAGGTGTAGATGTCTGTGATGGTGGGGAGGCTGACTCCAACAGTCTTCTGTGCAGCCTTCACCACTCTCGGCAGAGCTCTCCTTTCTGCAGCAGCTTTCTGCAAATGGAACTTGCAGAATATCCTGATGCATGCTCAATAATCCTGAAACTTGCAGAATGGGATCCTGGGAATCCTGGGAACTTGCAGAATGTTCTTATTTGTTATCCATCTAGAACTGAATATTTTAAGTCAACCCAATTCAAAATGGCTACCACAGCCACCTGATTTTAGATCACACTAACTCAAACCCTGTCGATTTTACAATTAGTCAAAATTTTGATGTTGACCTAGTTCATCTGTTAGCAACAATTCTCTTAAACCTCTAAATGAATTTCAATACACAGTCTGACCTTGGGACCCTATATATCCCTTGATGTGCATGTACAGCTAACTTTTAGAATCAACCTAATTCAAAATGGCTGCATCAGCAAATGAATCTTAGAAAACACTAACGTCTTTATCCCAGTCAGATTTATTGATAATGAGCTAAATTTTAATATGGTATTAGATGAGAATCATCTGCAACACACACCCTGTGTGCCAACAGATGTTGCAAGATCTTGCAATATTGCCTGAGAGATTGTGCATAACATTTAGCAGATTTGACCAAAGCGCCTCCAATGCTGTCCTTTTTCATCATAAGATGATCCTAGTTTAACTCTGCATAAAAGGCTGCAGGCAACATGCATTTCTCCAAGGAATGCCTTCCCTTTATTATTATTGATAAATAAAACATTTGGTGAATGAACTTGTACAATATGCAGATTTATCTTGAAGTTCAGCTCAAATGATCAAACATTCTCCTTTTTCCAGTATTTATTTTGTGTAAACAGTGTATTTCCTCAGCTTTTGTTAAATAACGCTGAATAAAAAGAAGAATGATAACAGCTTCCACAGATGGTATCACACCTGAACACTCGTTGCTCTCATTCCACGAGGAATCTCCTGAGCTGTGCTGCCTTTGTAAAATAAGTCAGATCTGCATCCTTCAGATGTCACATTTGCAATGTTTTCATCTCACTTCCTCACAGCAGATTTCCTGCTGGTGCTCAGCGGTGTTTCCAAAAAACTCACTCTGCGATCAGATTCTGAATGAAAATGTTTATCAGACAAAAAACACAAGAGGTTCAGAGGCAGTTTGCTGCTAATGTGCCAATATTACGTCACATTTCTTTTGATCTCTGCTTCTTTCTTCCTTTTTCAGCAGGAAAAATCAAAGTGGTGGGATAATACTGCTTAGCTTTAAACAGATTTGTCAATTTTCTATTATGCAGAAATCTTCCTACAGCCGTCAGCTGAGGAGAGGAACAGATATTCAGAAATTAAGGGTTGTAAAAACATAAAACCTTCCTTAAGACCGATGCAAAAATAATGGTAAATAACAAAATAAAAAAATACAAAACCTCTATAGATCGCCAAAAACCAAAGCTCCAAAGTTACAGATAAAAATCTAGTCAATACATTTAGTTAATTAATCAAGAACATGCTAATAATTGAACTGTTTTCATCTGATTTGTGTGTTAGTTCTGACTCAAAAAAAATAAAAAATAAAAAGCTTTCCGTAAAGGAATATATACAGTATAAGCCACTGTATTGAATGCTAAAATTTCAAACAAATATTGTGCTCCATGTGTTTGTGTTCCAAGTCCAGATGTGTTGGGAGTAAGTTTCAGCCACTGCCACACCAAGTTTTATATGATATCCGTATATCTGACAGAGTTGTAACCATTTTTGTGTTTACAAAAATTAACAATCTACAGAAGCCTTCTTGGACCGACTCCAAAAATTAATCAAAATGATCCTCACAAGTTGGACAAAACTGGTTGAATAATCAGATTACCCTGAGAATGTATCAAGATTATTTTTTTTTAGTGTTTAATTTTCTGTTCATTTCTTACGGTGTTTGTTTCCATAGTTTTCTTTGTGTTCAGTTTGTCCCTTTCTCCCCGCGCTTCCAGCCATTATGTTTATTTCCTTGGTCAGTTCAACTCTGCTCCAGCTCTGCCCATCCTCACCTGTTCCCAGTCTTCTTTTAGCTCAGGTGTCTCCTCTTCCTCATCAGCCCTTGATTATTTATCCTGTTTGTTGTGGATAAACAGGATATCCTGTTTATGCTTATATGCACATTGTATTGCTTATATGCACATGTATTGCTTATATGCACATTGTATTGTTTATATGCACATGTATTGCTTATATGTACATGTATTGTTTATATGCACATGTATTGTTTATATGCACATGTATT